CTGATTGAGGGTCTTCCTCTTTTTCGCTGACCCTCTACTCTACCAAGCATGATGTCCTTCTGATGTCAAACTGACAGACACCTGGGGGTCCCCTGGAGCAGGCACCCTGAAATTGGACTTCTAGCCTTCTAGACTGTGAGAGAATGACTTCTCTTGTTTAAGCCACCCACTTGTGGTACTTCTGTTATAGCAGCACTAGATGACTAAGACGGGGGGCTCATAGACACAGCGATACTCGATTACACGCCCTGCCCCACAAACTCTTGAATAGCAACTGGGACTGCACCGGAAGGCCCTTGCGGGCGTCACGTCTGAAGTGGGTACGTGGGAGGCCCCGGGGGAGACACTGCAGGGAAGGAGCCCGTTCAGGACGTGTAGGAAGCGCGTAAACTGGCCAAAGTGAACATACAATGCTTTTGGTACAAATGATCTGAATCGTTAATGTGGGTTGGAGGGCTGTGGAGCGAGGAGGGGTGTTAGTGCTGGTCCTGGGATCTGGCAAGAAACCAGCGGCCTCCAGTGGACTGTCCACAGGCCGTGGGTGCCGCCACCACACAGGGGTGGTGAAGCCAACACCGCCCCCACCTGGGGGTACTATGCAGCTGTGAAGAAGGATGAGGCCATCCCCGGGAGCCGGTGGGGAGTCGCTTCCATAACATAGGGTGACGTGAGAAGAGCGAAGGGCAGATACGCTGCTGTGCACGTAAGACGTGAGGGCAATGAGAAAGCATTCGTGTAACTGCTTGTTTTTGCAAATAGAAACCCAGAAGAATGACCCAGAGCAAACGAGGTTGGTGCCCAGGGTGGGACGGACAGGAGGCGGTGACACACTCCTGGAGCACCTTTTTAATAGTTTGGACTTTTGCAAATACGTGAATATTTTACACTCATAAAACATATCCCTGCTGAACCCCTTTGCCGTCAAGTCGATTCTGACTCATAGTGACTCTACAGGACAGAGTAGAACTGCCCCATACCATTACCAAGGAGCGGCTGGTGGATTCCAACTGCCGACCTTTTGGTTAGCAGCCGAGCTCTTGACCACTGAGCCACTGGGGCTCCCATAAAACATACACTGAATTCAGCAAGGATTGGGGAAATCCTGGCAAGGAATACTAATGGAAACAAATGAACCAGCTGTATTCAAATGAACAACAAAGGGGAGCGAAGGGGAATGAAAAAACAACCCCTGTAGCTTTGGATACAGTGTTTTGATTATATACCCTCAGACAAAAGTGAAAAAGAGCTGTAAATAATCTTGCACTCTAGCTGTTATATTTATCGTTCTCAGGGGCATGCGGTAGCAATTCTGAAACTACTTTTGGTATATTCTAGGATTGAACAAAGAAGCAGAAATAATGAGGTCTGTCTGGGTTTCTCACTGTCAGAGAAGGGAGTTAAACACATGGAAAGGGAGAAATGAGAATAAATGAACCCTGTGGTATTGGGTTGGAATTGAAGGGTATGGAGATATAGCTGTATATCTATATCTAAGGATCCCTGGTGGCACAATGGTTACATGCTTAGCTGCTAACTGAAATGACAATCTGCTTCTGTAAAGATTACAACCTAGGAAACCCTATGGGGCTGTTCTGCTCTGTCCTGTAAGGTCGCTATGAGTCGGAATCAACGTGACAGCACACAGCCACAACAACATACCTGTCTTAAGCTGGGTTCTCTAGAGAAGAAAAACCAGTAAAGTGTATAAATATATATAGAGAGAGATTTAGATCAAGGAAATGGCTCATGCAGTTGTAGAGACTGGAAAGTCTCAAATCTGTAGGTCAGGCTGGAGGATTCTCCTGATTCATGTAGCTGCAGGGGCTGGCGAACCCGAGATCGGCAGGTCAGACAGCAGGGCTCTGGCTCACAGGCTGTGAAGACCGATGAATCCCAAGATCAGTAGGCAAGATGGCAGGTAAACTGCTAGCTCAAGTCCCAACAACTAGAGGTCAGATGAACAGGAGCCAGCTGTAGGAGCCAGAGCGAGCAAAAGCCCATGAGCCTTGCCAGAAAGTCCACTTATATTGGATGCAGACCACACCCCTAAGGACACTCCCTTTCAACTGATTGGCTAATCACAGTAGATCCCATCATGAGGGTGATCACATTATATTGGATCTCGTCATGGAAGTGATCACATCATTATACGACTGTTGTCTTAGTCATCTAGTGCTGCTATAACAGAAATACCACAAGTGGATGCCTTTAACAAAGAGAAATTTATTTTCTCACAGTCAGGTAGGCTAGAAGTCCACATTCAGGGCAATCAGTCCCAGGGGAAGGCTTTCTCTTTCTGTTGACTCTGGAAGAAGTTCCTTGTCATCAATTTTTCCCTGGACTAGGAGCTTCTCTGTGCAGGAACCCGGATCCAAGGGACGTGCTCTGCTCACGGCACTGCTTTCTTGGTAGAAAGAGGTCCCCACTCTCTGTTGGCTTCCCTTTCCTTTTATCTCTTGTAAAGGTGGTGCAGGCCACACCCCAGGGAAACTCCCTGTACATTGGGTCAGGAATGTGACCTTAGTAAGGGTGCTACAATCCCACCCTAATCCTCTTTAACATAAAATTACAACCACAGAATGGAGGATAACCACACAATACTGGGGATCATGACCTAACCAAGTTGACACATATTTTTTGGGGGACACAATTCAATCCACGACAACCGCCAAACTACCTCGTAACTGCCAAACCACTGAGAATCATGGCCTAACCAAGTTGACATACAATCTTAACGATCACTATATATATATATCTGTCCTAGATGTGTCTGCTAAGAGGGCCTAAAAGCAATGACAGGCTGTTACCAATGAACACACCCACCACCCAGTTCTTGGCTTCTAAGTACCATTTTCAGTTATAAGGAAGCAGGGCTTCTTGGAGAAGTGGCTGCTGCCAGGACTGGGATAGGAAAAGTACAAGATGAGCCTGGAACATTTTATGCCAGAGAGTAAGGATGTGCTCATAGAACAATGGGGACACGCCAAGAGGTCATGGAGGCCACCTGGAAGGGTTCTCACTAGGCGCTTCTTGAACGACGTGAGCACCAAATAAACGATAGTAGCTTCTTATTGCAACTCAGATAAATAGATAACTGAGAGCACAAGTGCTCGCAAAGGGGTCAGTGTCGTCTGTGACCAGTGACCAACCCTGCTGGGACAGAGAAATGGCCTAAGAGAGCGACAGTCCCCATGCAGGGGGCACCCAGGGATGGGGGCACTGTGGGCTGAGGTGGGTGCGTGGCAGAGATGAGGGGTCCTGGCCAGGAACGGCGAGTGCAAGGGTTTCCTGAGTGCAGTTTGCTTTGCGCTGAGCCTGCCTTAGATTCTGGTTTTGGTCTGTCCTTCCCCTGAACCTCTTCATTCCTCTGCATTTCTGGTGGGTGGGGACAAGCTCTCGGCAGTTCTCTGGAAATCCAGCAGTTGGGCCCTGAGAGAGTGGTTCATGATGGCGACATGTCTGAAATCCTGGGTTACTCTTCACCTGCGTATGCGGCCACGTGTGTAGACTACAACCATAGAGAGTATGTTTGTCAAACTGCAGCCTTGTAGACTACCTGTGTGTAGACTACAGCCGTGTACAGGGTGGATTAATCAGTAAGCACGGTAAGCACAAGCTGACTTGTGCCTGCTTACTAATCTGTAGTGCACATCAAAGATGTGGTGAAACCCATGTGAAGTTGTGCACTTTAGATTAGTAAGTAAACACAAGGAAGCCCGTGCCTACCTTGCTTACTGGGTAATCGTCCCTGGCCATGTAGACTACGTGTGTGTAGATTACAGCTGTGTAGACTACATGTGTGTAGACTTCTTGTGTGTATACTATGTATGTGTAAACTACAGCCGCATAGACTATGTGTGGGCAGACTACGTGTGTATGCTGTGTGTGGACTAAATGTGTGTAGACTATATGCGTGTAGACTGTGTGGACTCCATGTGCATGTAGACTGTGTGTGGACTCCGTGTGCGTGTAGACTGTGTGCGCGAGTAGACTGTGTGTAGATGCCATGCTGAGTTGGGTTGGGTGGGCTGATGGCTCCCCTTTAGTGCTGGCATTGGACAGAGCGCTCCGCTTGCATCCGTTGACATCATTAACTCAGTGAGGCAGGTCATGTTAGTACATCAGGCCGCCATCACGCTTCCCTGGTCCTACAAGCAGACGGGAATCAAACCTGAGCAGGAGTGACTCCAAAGCCTGCACTTCGGCCACCCTGCCGCCCCCCTACGATTCTTTATCAGCTCTTTCTGCATGAGGACTGGGGGAGGGCGATCTTGTTTCCCCTGCCCCTGTGTCCCCAGGCCCCTGCCCCATCTGCATCTCTGAGCCCAGTGGAGCTGGGGCACAGCTGGTGGGGTCACGCGTGAAGGAGATGAGCCAGACACCAATTGGAGGGTTCTGGCTGGGGTGCTCCCCCAGCCTCCCGCTGTGGCTCTGACAGGGCACCCTGGGCCCACTGTGGCATCTGACAGGATGATCCCGGCTGTTGCCTTTGTCACGTGTAAAGTCATAGGGTGGTCTGTGCCTTTGGAAGGCATGTGCCTGTGCTCTCCCTGCTGACTCAAAGGCCACGTGCTTGGTCCCAGCCATGACATGTAGAGTTGAGACGTGCTGGGTACTGCTAGGAAGGGCATGGGCAGACCGCCATGAATGGCTGCGTACGCCAGGTATGCCATCTGCAGCGTCTGCACCAATGATGGCAGACGACGGTGTGGCTTCTCCATGCACTGAGAGGCCTTGGGTTTTGCAGCTTTCTGGTGGGGGAGGCCAACAGGCCTGCTGTGGTTAAAAACTTGGGCTGTGGAGCCGGCTGCCTGGTCGACCCAGTCCCACCTCTCCCAGCCTGGGCACTGGGGCAGCTTCGTCAGCTCGCCGAGCCCGTGTCCTCACCAGTAGAATGGGAACATGCTCGTGTGTGGGCACCCGGCAGCAGAAGCGTGGTGCTGTTACTGCTGTTATTATTCCTGACCAAGTTTTAACCATTTTGCCCTTTTCTGCTCCAGTTTCTGTGTTTGAAGAACATCCGCACCTTCCTCAAAGTCTGCCACGATAAATTTGGACTAAGAAACAGTGAGCTCTTCGACCCCTTTGACCTCTTCGATGTCCGAGATTTTGGAAAGGTGAGTAGTCTCCTCTTTGCTCCGTCACCGAGGGCGGCTGGCTCAGAGGCAGGTGGACCAGATGGCCAGAGCGGGCCGGGCACCTCGACACGGCTGAGTGGATTTTCCATCCCTGTCTGACAGGTGCAGGCTGGGTTGTGTTACACAGAGGAGAGTGTGGAGCCAGATTTGTGCAGGGTGGGCTGGGGGGCGGCAGGACGGACCCTCCTGCTTCTCAGGCCGCCCCAAGTGAGGTGGTGGTTGTTATCAGTTGCCACGCAGTCAGCTGTGACTGCTGGCGACCTTATACGTAACAGAACGAAACGCTGCCCGATCCTGCGCCATCCTCGTTGTCATTGAGACGTTTGAGTCCATTGTTGAGGCTGTTGCGTCAGTCCAGCTCATGGAGCGTTTCTCTTGTTTTCACTGACCCCTCCACCTTACCAAACACGATATCCTTTTCTAGCGACTCGTCTTCCCCCATGACGTGTCCAAAGTAAGTGAGCAGAAGTCTTACCTCTAAGGAGCATTCTGGTTGTATTCTACGTGAGGTTAAGTGTCATGGATCCAGAAGGGGAGGGGATGCAGGGTGTGCACCGCACGGAAGTGGGATTGAGCCGGCCCCGCCTTTGTCCCCAGGGATCCGGAGCATTAACTTCCTCCGAATCTCTGACTCTTCATCTAGAATGGGGCAATGGTGGTCCCACCTGCTCAGGGTTGGTGGGGATGATCTAGTAAAGCATTATTATGGCTTCTGTGGGTGGAGCCATCTCGCTTACACCTGGAACAAGCACAGCTCTGGGCAGGTGTTGGGGAAGGCGGGGTGGTCCGCCCGAACCCCAGAGGGCCCCACACGTGAGCTGCTAGGTCCGGAGCAGGTAACCCTGGGAGCCTCCCTGCCATGGATTGAATTGTGTCCCCCCAAAATATCTGTCAACTTGGCTAGGTCATGATTCCCAGTATTGTATGATTATCTACCATTTTGTCATCTGATGTGATTTCCCTATGTGTTGTAAACTCTATTACTATGATATAACGAGATGGATTAGTGGCAGTTATACTGATGAGGTCTACAAGATTAGATAGTGTCTTAAGCCAATCTCTTTTGAGATATAAAAAAGAGAAGTGAGCAGAGAGACATGGGGACCTCATACCACCAAGAAAGCAGTGCTGGGAGCAGAGCGTGTCCTTTGGACCTGAGGTTCTTGGGCTGAGATGCTCCCAGACCACGGGAAGACTGATGACACGGAACTTCTTCCAGAGCCCAAAGCGTTCCCCTGGAGCTGATGCCCTGAGTTCGGACTTACAGCCTACTGGACTGTGAAAGAATAAGCTTCTGTTTGCTAAAGCCATCCACGTGTGGTATTTCTGTTAGAGCAGCACTAGATGACTAAGACACTCCCCATGTTCTCAGAAAGCTTCAGTCAAGTGGCCGCTGTTGCTCAGAAGCTCTGCTGGGCTCAGGCGAAGGGCACCTGGAAAGCTGGGGCAGGTACACTGGGCTGGGGAGGCTTCCGCTCATTGTGGCTTCCTGGTGAACCCGGTACAGTGACGGGTGTTATGTGCCATTGAGAGGCCAGCAGGCCTGGGGTCGCTCATTGTGAATCCCGAGATCAGGACAGAAGTATCTTCTGATGGGTTGGGGCTGAGAGCATACAGCGTGGCGCAGGCTTTGCACCAGCCGTAATCCAGCTGCTCCCGAGCCCCCAAGCACTTCAAGATCTGCGTCGCTTGGCTTTTTCATCCGCGGCTGGTGCAGGCTCTGAAATGGCCACTCCCCGATGACGAGGCTGAGTTTCCACCAGCTGATGGGAATCAACATCAGAAGGCATATATTGCCTAACTGATTTGGGGACCGTTATCAGGGTGTGGGTGTTTGAGGAAGCATTGTATAAAAACATGATCTATGAAGTGCACCGGGGATTTTCATATTTGCAGTCGCAGATGTTGAGAGGAGCTCTTAGCGACTCATGTACGGCAGAACGAAACACTGCCCAGTCCTGCTCCCTACTCACAGTAGTTGTTATGCTTGAGCCCATTGTTGCAGCCACTGTGTCAATCCATCTTGTTGAAGGTCTTCCTCTTTTTCACTGACCTTCTACTTCACCAAGCATGATGTCCTTCTCCAGGGAGTGGTCCCTTCTGATAACACGTCCAAAGTACATGAGACAGAGTCTCGCCATCCTTGCTGCCAAGGATCACTCTGGCTGTACTTCCTCCAAGACAGATGTGTTTGTTTTTCTGGAAGTCCATGGTATATTCAATATTCTTTGCCAACATCGTAATTCAAAGGCTTCAGTTCTTCTTTGGTCTTTCTTAATTCGTTGTCCAGCTTTCACATGCATATGAGGCGATTGAAAACAGCATGGCTTGGGTCAGGCACACCTTAGTCCTCAAAGTGACATTTTTGGTTTTTAACACTTTCAAGAGGTCTTTTACGGCAGATTTGCCCAGTGCAATATGTGGTTTGATATCCTGACTGCTGCTTCCATGGGCGTTGATTGTAGATCCAAGTAAACTGAAATGCTTGACAATGTCAATCTTTTCTCCATTTATCATGATGTTGCTTATTGGTCCAGTTGTGAGGCTTTTTGTTTTCTTTATGTTGAAGTGTAATCCAAGAAGTGCTGCAAAGTGTCAAATCAGCATTGATATCTAGGACTTTCCCATCAGCCACCTGGGCCTGTTGATGCCTCCTTTAGTTCTGGGTCCTCCAGGGAGGAGATCTGGGTCCTCCCAGGAGCCCATCTCTTGTTGGATTGTCCAGGTATCAGAGGTTTATTCATCCTTCAGTGACATACCTGAGCCCCTCCTGCCACAGGGCCATCACCTGGCCCTCTGCCCTCACACACACGCACATATACACTCACACTCATACAAATGTGTCTGTGGTCACACACATTCAGATGCACACATACATACACGCTCACGCATATACTCACGTTCACTTATAAGGCAGTCGTTCAAACAGAATAAGGGGGTATTTCATGGTTTAAGGTCAGGAAGGGTGTGCATCAGGGTTGTATCCTTTCATCATACCTATTCAACCTGTATGCTGAGCAAATAATCTGGGAAGCTGGACTATATGAATAAGAGCAGGGCATCAGGATTGGAGGAAGACTCATTAACAACCTGCATTATGCAGATGACACAGCCCTCCTTGCTGAAAGTGAAGAGAACTTGAAGCACTTACTGATGAAGATCAAAGACCATAGCATTCAGTATGGATTACACCTCAGCATAAAACAAAAATCCTCACAACTGGACCAATAAGCAACATCATGATAAACAGAGAAAATATGGAAGTCATCAAGGATTTCATTTTACTTAGATCCACAATCAATGCCCTTGGAAGCAGCAGTCAGGAAATCAAACGATACATTGCATTGGGCAAATCTGCTGCAAAAGACCTCTGTAAAGTATTAAAAAGCAAAGCTGTCACTTTAAGGACTTAGGTGTGCCTGACCAAAGCCATGGTGTTTTCAATCACCTCCTATGCATGGGAAAACTGGGGAATGAATAAGGAAGACTGAAGAAGAATTGATGCCTTTGAATTGTGGTGTTGGCAAAGAATATTGAGTACACCATGGACTTCCAGAAGAATGATCAAATCTGTCTTGGAAGAAGTACAACCAGAATGCTCCTTATAAGCGAGAATGGCGAGACTGCGTCTTTCCTACTTTGGACATGTTATCAGGAGGGACCAGTCCCTGGAGAAGGACATCATGATGCTTAGTAGAGTAGAGGGTCAGTGAAAGATAAGAAGACCCTCAACAAGATGGATTGACTCAGTGGCTGCAACAGTGGGCTCAGACTTAGCAACAATTTTGAGGATGGTGCAGGACCAGGCAGTGGTTCGTTCTGTTGTGTATGGGGTGTCTGTGAGTCAGAATGGACTCGACGACACCTGACAACACCAGCAATAACAGTGTGTTCACTCTCGAACACACACAACACATACTCATATAACACATACAGTCATATACACTTTCTCACACTCATACACATTGATACACACTGTCATACACATGTATATACATTCACACTCTGCCATACATACACGCTGTCTCATACATATACACAGGCACACACTCAAACATACATACACTCACACTCATACTCACACATACACACACTCACATACACATAATCACACACACACTTTATACACTCACATAGACACTTGCACGTGCACTCTCTCACACACACTCTCATACACAGAACTGGTATTTAAAATAATTGTACAGAGAAAAAGTCAGGAAAACCGTAGCCAAACCCACTCCTTAGCCAGCAGTTAGGGCTCAGAGCGCTCAGCCTATAATTTCGTTTGGCTTTTAGTTTGCCGCAGCTGAATGCAGTGATGTAAGATGTGCACGCATTTGGCATGAAGGCTCACTGGCTGACCTGCCCAGTGTGGCTGCATGGTTTGCAAAGGGAGCCTCGTCAGCCACAGTCCTGTGTGGCCAGGCGGCTCCAACTCCCGGCGACCGGCAGCTCGGGGCTGCTGCCCGCTGGCCTCGGCCTGCCCACGGCGCACAGTGATGGTTAATGGCGGTACTTCCCACGCTGTGACATCTGTGTGGGGAGGCCTCGAGTGGGCCGTGGGTTTGGAGCAAGAGTAAGGGTCTGGGGCCTAGGATGAGAAAAAGAAATGAGGTAACCGTCCAGTCCCCCAAGCCGAGTTGTGGGGTCTCGGGTCCCGCCTCAGCTCCGTTGAGAACTGGAGGCTCAGAGAAGGGAAGGGACTCAGGGTAGTGTGTGACAGCATGAGGCTGCCCTCCTGCAGCTGCTGGTGGCATTGAGCCCTGAGGTCAGCTGGCCTGGTTTCGAATCCTGGCTCCATCCCTAGTGGCTGGGTGACTTTGAGCAGTCTTTGTGGCTGTGAGATGTGGTCGGGAGGATGGAGTGATGGACGCATAGGACACTCTGAGCATGGTGCCTGGCGCCAAGTGGGTGCTCATTATGTGGCGGTCACTTTGCTGCTATGGGTCCCCTCCTCCCCAGGCTTGGTTGAAACCAAC